ATCAGTAATCCTAAGAAGTCTTAATGTTCACACATAGATGGCGCAAAGGTAGAAGACGTTGTGATTAACAAATTCCTATGAATGAGGCCCACTTCCAATAATCCGCGAAAATAATAATAATAATAATAAATATTTAGGCGTAGGGAAGTGACGACCCCATCGATCGCTGACGTAGCGGTTATGTGACAAAACTGCTACGTCAGCGCAGTCCATCAGCACCTTGCCAAGAGGTGTGAGCGCCGTGCCTCGGCAGAATTGAGGGTGCTAATTTGGGCCTGTTTGTGCTTACAGCCAAATCATGAAACGTCTCCCGTTAATTGACGCCCAATTTATGGATGTTGAAAAGAAATAAACTGCGTATAAGGCCGCTGCCTGGGGGTCGCCGGGGCGCGTCTGGAGCTGGTGCTGGACGCGACAGCAAGCGGGCCGCCAGCCGAAAGCGAGGTGTTGCACGACCACCTAGCAGCCCTTCAAATCCATCATCCCCACCAGCTGGCTTGGTGTTGTCAGGGTCTTCGCGGGCCCAGCAATCAGCACCCGCCACTGGTGGAGTACGTCGGCGGCGCAGAACTCGGTGGCGGAGGCGGCAGCGAGCCCCGCGCGCAGGCAGCGCAGGTAGTGCGCGCCAGCTGTAGCGACGAGGGTCTGACCTGCGCAGAAGTAGTGGTGCGCGGCGAGCGTGGCGTAGCCGTCGGCGGCGCAGAACTCGGTGGCGGAGGCGGCGGCGAGCCCCGCGCGCAGGCAGCGCAGGTAGTGCGCGCCAGCTGTAGCGACGAGGGTCTGACCTGCGCAGAAGTAGTGGTGCGCGGCGAGCGTGGCGTAGCCGTCGGCGGCGCAGAACTCGGTGGCGGAGGCGGCAGCGAGCCCCGCGCGCAGGCAGCGCAGGTAGTGCGCGCCAGCTGTAGCGACGAGGGTCTGACCTGCGCAGAAGTAGTGGTGCGCGGCGAGCGTGGCGTAGCCGTCGGCGGCGCAGAACTCGGTGGCGGAGGCGGCGGCGAGCCCCGCGCGCAGGCAGCGCAGGTAGTGCGCGCCAGCTGTAGCGACGAGGGTCTGACCTGCGCAGAAGTAGTGGTGCGCGGCGAGCGTGGCGTAGCCGTCGGCGGCGCAGAACTCGGTGGCGGAGGCGGCAGCGAGCCCCGCGCGCAGGCAGCGCAGGTAGTGCGCGCCAGCTGTAGCGACGAGGGTCTGACCTGCGCAGAAGTAGTGGTGCGCGGCGAGCGTGGCGTAGCCGTCGGCGGCGCAGAACTCGGTGGCGGAGGCGGCGGCGAGCCCCGCGCGCAGGCAGCGCAGGTAGTGCGCGCCAGCTGTAGCGACGAGGGTCTGACCTGCGCAGAAGTAGTGGTGCGCGGCGAGCGTGGCGTAGCCGTCGGTGGCGCAGAACTCGGTGGCGGAGGCGGCGGCGAGCCCCGCGCGCAGGCAGCGCAGGTAGTGCGCGCCAGCTGTAGCGACGAGGGTCTGACCTGCGCAGAAGTAGTGGTGCGCGGCGAGCGTGGCGTAGCCGTCGGCGGCGCAGAACTCGGTGGCGGAGGCGGCGGCGAGCCCCGCGCGCAGGCAGCGCAGGTAGTGCGCGCCAGCTGTAGCGACGAGGGTCTGACCTGCGCAGAAGTAGTGGTGCGCGGCGAGCGTGGCGTAGCCGTCGGCGGCGCAGAACTCGGTGGCGGAGGCGGCGGCGAGCCCCGCGCGCAGGCAGCGCAGGTAGTGCGCGCCAGCTGTAGCGACGAGGGTCTGACCTGCGCAGAAGTAGTGGTGCGCGGCGAGCGTGGCGTAGCCGTCGGTGGCGCAGAACTCGGTGGCGGAGGCGGCGGCGAGCCCCGCGCGCAGGCAGCGCAGGTAGTGCGCGCCAGCTGTAGCGACGAGGGTCTGACCTGCGCAGAAGTAGTGGTGCGCGGCGAGCGTGGCGTAGCCGTCGGCGGCGCAGAACTCGGTGGCGGAGGCGGCGGCGAGCCCCGCGCGCAGGCAGCGCAGGTAGTGCGCGCCAGCTGTAGCGACGAGGGTCTGACCTGCGCAGAAGTAGTGGTGCGCGGCGAGCGTGGCGTAGCCGTCGGCGGCGCAGAACTCGGTGGCGGAGGCGGCGGCGAGCCCCGCGCGCAGGCAGCGCAGGTAGTGCGCGCCAGCTGTAGCGACGAGGGTCTGACCTGCGCAGAAGTAGTGGTGCGCGGCGAGCGTGGCGTAGCCGTCGGCGGCGCAGAACTCGGTGGCGGAGGCGGCGGCGAGCCCCGCGCGCAGGCAGCGCAGGTAGTGCGCGCGCAGGCGGCGCGCCAGCTGCACGCTGCGGCCGCGCTCGGGCGCCGCCGCCAGGCGCCAGGCGCCCACGCACGACACGTGGCGCTGCACGTCCGCCGCCTGCCGCCCGCCCGCGCCCGCACCCACAACACAAACGTTTAGCAAACACTGTCAACGATCTTACGCTCGCCAGATGCCGCTACTTGGAATATAAGTCAACTTATTTTTTATAAAATAATGCCCTAATAATAATAATATAATTTTTAATTTCAATAAACTGAACAATTAATTCAAATAATGTCTTAATATAAAATAGTTCACAATAACAGACACCAGAACTAGGATAAACCTGTTTCTCAGGTCTATGTGCTGATAGATACATTAACATATATTTTCTGTTTTTTATGTAATATGAATAACATACCAAATAATCAGCATTATTTCGGTAAAATATATTATCACTAATTTACTTATAATATTAATTAGCCTAAACAATCAACAACTTTTCCATATCATCATTATAATCCGTAAGTGCACATAATGTTCGATAGCTGCATATGATCATCGTCTCTATAAATCCTCTGTAGTCATCGGAGGCAGATCCCAGCCATGGTTTGGTCGCTCCTGTAAAATAGCATCATGCTATAAGCAGAAGTGCTACCGAGCCTGGGCCGACGCATCAACGTCTCGGGATGTATACGCCAGCATTCTTAAAAAGAAGTATGATTCCGCCTCCATGTCCTTCAAAAGAGTCATTGCCAAGGCAAAATCTGAGCACATCGGCAGAATTGGCGAGAAGCTAGTTCACCTTTTTTCGGGAACCCGTGCATTCTGGTCTCTCGCCAATACTGTTTAGGGAAACTTCTGTCAGCCATCTCTTCCATCTCTGCACAGAGAGGAAAACTCACTGGTCCATGCCACAATGGAGAAAGCCGATCTGTTAGGGATCTTTGCATCCAACTAGACTCTAGATGACAGGAGAAACACACCGCCGACCATCCCGCGGTGTGAGAGCTCCATGCCAGATGTGCGAGTTACACAGCGCTCAGTTCGCAAAGCGCTCTTCTCCCTGGACGTCAGCAAGTCGAGTGGACCTGATGGAGTCCCTCCCATTGTGCTGAAAACGTGTGCTCCGGAGTTGGCACCGGTTTTAACTCGTCTTTTCCAGGACTCCTACTCCCAAGACGTAGTCCCGAATTCATGGAAGACAGCTTTGGTCCCCCGATCCCTAAAAAAGGCGACCGATCAGACTCGTCCAATTACAGGCCTATCGCCATCACCTCCTTGTTCTCCAAAATAATGGAGTCTATTATAAATTGCGAGCTCACAAGGTACCTTGAGGATCACCAGCTGATTAATGACCACCAATACAGTTTTCGTCGGGGTTGATCAGCTGGTGATCTTCTGGTCTACCTGACTCATAGATGGGAGGAGGCAGTAGAGTGCAAGGGGGAGGCATTGGCTGTTAGTTTGGACATAGCGAAAGCCTTCGATCGGGTCTGACACAAAGCGCTTCTTTCGAAGATCACTTCCTATGGGTTTCCCGAAAAATTGTGCAATTGGATCACCAGTTTCCTTGCTGATCGGAGCATCAAGGTCGTAGTATACGGTGCATGCTCTGATTACATGCCTACTAACGCTGGTGTTCCACAAGGCTGTGTGCTATCACCATCGCTGTTTCGTTTGCATATCAATGATATGTTGCAAGCTGGTAACTTTCGTTGCTATGCAAACGACATCACTGGTGATGCCTTATACACCGGCCGTGCCAATAATTCTCGAGAAAACGTCGCCGAGTACCGGGACAAACTTGTGTCTGAAGTCGAGTCTTTGCTGAACAAAGTCTCAGATTGGGGGCGACTAAATCTAGTCCAGTTCAATCCCCAGAAGACACAAGTTCGCGCATTTACCTCTATAAAGAACCCCTTTGTCGTATCTCCTCAGTTTCAAGGCACTGTTTGCCCTTACTGCCTCAGCTAGCATCGAAATCCTCGACGTCGACATATCGAATAGTGTGCAGTTTCGTGGTCACTTGGAAGGAAAGGCCAAATAGGCATCTAAAAAGCTTGACGTGCTCAGCAGAGCGAGACAGTATTTCATGCCGGCACATCGCTTGCAACTTTACAAAGCGCATGTTCGGCCTCACATGTAATACTGTTCTCCTCTCTGGGCCGGGGCACCTTAGTGCCAGTTTTTTTTAACTGACCGCATTTAGCGCAGTGGTTCGAATTGTTGACGCCCAAATTCTTTCTAATCGGCTCGATACACTGGCAATGCGTAGGGATGTTGCATCCCTTTGCATTTTCTATCGAATCTACCACGGGGAGTGCTCTGAGGAATTGTTCGGATTAATTCCAGCCGCCAAATTTCACGAACGCACATCTTTCTTCCTTCTACAACTTCTCTGTGGAATCATTTATCACTGGCGATTTTTCTGGACTGATACGCCTTAGGGACCTTCAAGAAAAGAGGTTAGTCCTTTCTAAAAGGCCGGCAACGCATCTGCGATTCCCGTGGTGTTGCGGTTGTTCATGGACAGAGGTAGTCACTTACCATCAGGTGAGCTGCATGCTCGTTTGCCCTCTCTTTTATAAAAAAAAAAAAATGTATAGAAGTGGTGTACTTATACAAAATTTGAAATTAGTAAAATAATATGAATTACTCGAAATTACAAGACAATTGTTTTATGCAATAGGTACTTACATTATCAGGCTCACTATTTTCTTCAAAACCTAGACAAAAAAGGAAATCTTTAGCGTGTTCTTCTCTTTCTTTTTGTGGTATCATGGACAGATAGGGTCTAACATCAGGCACAGAACATGACTTATGAGCGAAAAATTTTAGGTACTGTATACATAGTGCCATTGCACCTCCATACAAGTCTTTTGGTTCTTTAGATAATCGTTTCAATTCTAGTCTAGCTAAGTAAGGGCCCCTTATAGTCCTCTCGGATGATATACTCTCAATTAATTCACAAATAAATTCATGGCACTTCTCTTCAGTATCATCCACTGAGCTGTTACAATTCTCATTAGGATCGACTCCCTTCATCAACTCGAAGGCAGATTCAAAATATGGCATGTAGTAGTCCCACCTGTCTTGATTGTCCCACAGCAGCTCTTTGCATAACAAATTCAATTTCCTCCAATGGCCAAGTTTCTTTAAATAGGGTATGCTCGCTTGTGCAGTTGAGCCTGGCACAAGTTGTGAGTACAATGGTCCCTCGATAAACTTTAGAATATCTTCCCATTTCTCTTGTAATTCAAGAATCATGATATACAGCCGTGCTTCCTGCTCTGCCTCCATTTTGTTCTCTGCTATGAAATTGTCCACCATTCGTTGTGCTAAAGTGAGAAGGATGCCTTTTTTAGTCACATCCTCTGTTGATTTGGCCTAGAAGAGATATGTGACATTTCATAATAATAAAACTAAATTTAATTAAGAATTATTATTGCAAATCATTTTAACAAATAATTTACTGCTAGGTATCAGGGCCAGATTGTGACAGACAGGGGCTTTTAAGCAATGCAGGCAATGTAAGTCAATTATTTCTACCTATTTAGAATGTAAGTCATTATGTGACACTCTGAATTGCTTGCTTTTTTGTATGCTTTTCAAATTTCTTAAAGCGTAAGTTTCAACTGCACTGATGTTAAGCTGTTTGTTATAAGTTTTCTTATGGGCATTACTTATCAATAGCATAGTTGTACACCAAACTTCTAATAAAATAATTTATAGATTGCCGCCACTATGCATTGTATAATGCCTCCATTATAGCCTATTAAAAGTCCACTGCTGAAAATAGGCTTCCCCCATAGATTGATTCCAAAGGGAGATATTTGCCATAGTTGCCATGCTTAGCAAGTTTTCAGGAAGATTCTGCTGCCCATCTCCTAGTTCAGTTGCCCTCTGACGCCTCTTAGGATGCCCACAAGATGATATGAGGTAGTGTACATTCATGCACCGTCAAAACATGGTAATGTACATGCCTTATGTAAAATAATTTATAAAAAAAAACGACTATTTCTTTTGCAACACATGTTAACTTATTATTTCAGGCAATGGAGTCTTCATGGACACAGATAGTTTAGGTAGCCTTGCCAACTTTGCCTTTACGTTAATCTGGCTCTACTGGGTAAAATATTTAACTGAATATTTTAAGGTGTGCTTACCCTACTAATTATTTCTACCTATTTTGAATGTAAGTCATTATGTAGCATAAGACTAATAGGATTGTTGAAACATGAAGTCACTTTTTATACTTTGGTAACAACTTATTTAAGAAGTATTAAAATATCATACCTGCAGTACAATGCTCATGACGGCCCAAAAATAGTACGGGTTCTTGGGTGCGAGTTTGTAGAGCGCCATGGCGGCGCGCTGCTGGGCACGGTAGTCAGCCACGCGCACATATGACATGAACAGGTGCGAGTGAAGCTCCTCACTGTTAGGCTCTGACTTCACTGCCGCCTCATATAGCGCACATACCTTATTTACTGTAATGGATTGAATGGTATACAAGTAAGGAGTCTTGTTTGCAAATTAAATGTATAAACAATGGGTCTTATGATCTTAACTAACTATTTATGTTGTCTAAAAATAAAATAATCACATTTATTTTATTGACCATCACAGTACCAGACACTTTAGCCACTCTTGGCACTTTTGACACTGTTACCAACCTGGATATTCTATGCCAGGCAAAAATGAGATTATTAAGCTACCAAGCCATAAGATTTTCTAACAATAGGATGATGGTTTCTATTATGCTACCACCACATGGCTAACCAATATCTATACTTAATATTTGTTTTTTTATAATAATTTTACTTAATAATTGTTCAAAACAAATTTGTTTTAAGTGCTGATTTACATTGTGAGGTAATCAGCACTGCATTTGTAAAACTAAACTAGGATTTTCTACTGTATTGTGATTGGTTGCTGGAGATAGTTGACATGTTATACATAAAATGCACAAATACATACATCCAGACTTCATACAAATATTTGATCTGTGGGGATTCTAATCTGCAGCCCTCAGCACCACAACTCAATCTAAGCTACCGCATGCGCCCCTGAGCCATCAAACACTGTTGACATTTTATTATTAATCTACTATGTTTTGTTTTGGAGAATGTGTTTATTAAGATATAAAACTGCAAAATGTGATTAGATTTGTTTTGAATAGCACAAAAAAAAACATTACAGATAAATCGAGATGATTAAGAGTTGTTTACTTTTTTTATTAAATTGGACAGTATTCATTAAGCGTCTCCCACACAGAAGCGGCTTGCGGTGGCGGCCGCGGTGGCGGCCAGTTGTATTCGCTTCCAATGTAAGTGAGTCTGCAAACTCGTGCGGCCTTGTCGCGATCTGCGAGCGGCTGGCCGCGGCCGCATGCTCCGCCCCATTTGCCAATGCGTGTGTGTCAGCGAGTACGCGGTCAGTTGTAAATTTTTTCAACAGGCCGCGTGTACCGCGTGAAAAATGGTGGTAAATTCAGAGATTTTATTAGAAACAGTGCAAAATTATCCAGTACTTTATGATAATTCGCTTCGTGATCACAAAAGCATTAGTATTAAAACAAAATATATGATAATATTGCTGAATATAATAAAAACTTCGTCACGGTTTGTCATGTTCATACGTCCGATCGTAACACAGACACCACAGCAAATGGCGCTTCAGGCCGCCACTTGGGCCGCGGTGGTGTGTTGTTACAGCGGCTGCAGCCGCGGCCTGCGGTTAGCCGCCACCGCAAGCCGCTTGTGTGTGGGAGACGCTTTAGTCATTTAGTTATTAATCATTTATTGTATAAGCAATATACATTATGTGGGAAAACTTAAAAACATAAAACATTAAATAAAATTATTTTTTTATTTATTTATTTATTTATTTATTTTGCATAATGTGTGTGTTTTACAGTTGTTATAGAAAATATAGTACAACACATTAACCATTTCTGGTGTACAAAATTATTGAATTTTATAAACATTAAGTATGTAATTACGAATTAAAATTAAAAAAAATACGTACATTGCATAATAAATAGCAAAAACAAAAAAATTAATGTGAACTAATTAAAAAAAAAACATTTACTACTATTTGCATTATCATATCATTAATATTTATAATTTCATGTCACATTATAATATGTAATTACCAAAATATTATTATTAAAAAAATAAAGATAATTATTGTTTTTCCAACAACTCGCTAACCGAATAAAAAGATTTATTAACTAGCCACTTTTTCAACTCGTTCCCGAAACGCTTCCTTGGTAGTAATTTTATATTATAGGGTATTGCGTTAAACACTTTTATGCACATTGCATAGCAATTTCTATGATAATTTACTGTTTTTGGTATTTTATCAATGACTAATTTATCTGGATTCCTTAAGGGTTTGGACTTGATAATATCTCCAGCAGTTGTAAACAGCTCAGAATTATTTTTCACAAATTTTGCTGTTTCAAGGATGTATATGCAAGGAAGTGTTAACACTTTTAAATTTATAAATATTGGTTTGCACGATTCATGTGGGGCCATATTATATATTGCACGTAGACATTTTTTTTGCGCAATGAAAACTTTATTGATGTCTACAGAATTTCCCCATATTATTATACCGTAGCTAAGTATACAATAAACGTATCCGTAATACGCCATAAGAGCTGTTGATTGCGATGCCGTCTTTGTAAGGTTCCGTAATATGTAAACAAAGCGGTTAAGTTTATTACATATTTTTTCTATGTGGGTTTTCCAGTTACAAAATGTATCCATATGTATACCGAGAAAGCAAATTTCTTCTACTTGTTTTATTTGTTCGCCATTGTATACAATATTTAGCTTTGTTTCATTATTTTTTTTATTAATAAATTGTATTAACTTGGTTTTGCTTATATTTATATGTAAATTATTATATTCTAACCATTCAATTATAAATTTCAAAGAAATATTAATGTCATTTACAAATTTACCAATGTCTGATTTTTTGTTACATGTCATTAGCATAGCAATATCGTCTGCAAATAAAGTCAATAAATTATTCGTTACATAAGAGATATCATTAATATAAAATAAAAACAAAAGTGGACCAAGTACACTGCCCTGTGGCACGCCATAGCCATTAATTAGGTACGGTGATTTATAATGCTCAAGTTCTTTATAATAACTTAACCTTGAAATTTCAACACTTTGTTTTCGATCTTTAAGATATGATTCTATCCAATTTAATGCCGGTCCGCGAATGCCTAAGTTGTCGAGTTTGTTTAGTAGAAGTTTGTGTGAAACGAAATCAAAGGCTTTACTCATATCTATGAATATTACAGAAGTGTGGTTTTTGTCATCTAAATTATTAACAACATTTTTTACAAGATGAAAACATGCATGGGTAGTTGATTTATTTCTTTGGAACCCAAATTGTTCATTTATTATTATATTAACTTTTGAGGTGAATTCTATTATACGCTTATACATTGCTTTTTCAAATATTTTGGAAAAAATAGGCACTAAAGTTATGGGGCGATAATTACACATATGACGTTTATCATCTTTTTTATGGAGCGGTTTTATTATAGATTTCTTTAAACTCTCTGGAAATTTGCCATTAGTAAAAGAAAGATTAATGAGGTAGGTTAAAATGTGTACTAATTCTTTACTGCAACATTTTATTATTTTCGTGGAAACTGAATCATATCCCACTGCGTTTGTGTCATTCAATGACCTTATTATATTCATCACATCGGCATAACCATATGGCTTCAAAAAAATACTGCTAGATATAGTAGTTTTATTTGTGTTAATATATTTATTAGTGGGAGATCTATTAGTAAGACTAATGAAATATTCATTAAATGACTCGGCGATTTTAGTAGGATCTGTAATTAATTTATTGTCAACCTCTATTCCATTTATAAATAAGTCTTTATTACTTTTATAAGATCCCTGTTTAACGACTTTCCAAGCAGCTTTACACTTATTTTTTGAATTTTTCACAAACTTATAGTTATTAATTTTTTCAGACAGGCGAAAACATTTTTTAAGGAGTTTTGTGTATTTTATGTATTTAATTTTGTTTTCATTATTATTGTGTTTGTAATATTGTAATTGTAGTTTTCTTTTCGTTTTACAACTAATCTTTAAGCCTTTAGTCAACCAACTAGGTTTAGATGGTTTGTTCAGAATTTTAATGCGCGTCTGAGGAAAGCACAATTCATACATTAGCAGGAATAGTTCATGAAAATTATCAAATGCAATATTTATGTCATTTTCACTATAAACATGTGACCAATTTATACTACACAAACATTCATTAAATTTTGTAATATTATCTTCACAGTAGTCCCTTCTGAAGATAAAGTAATGTTTCAAAGGGCTACAGATTTGTTGTTCTACAGGTACATGTAGCATTTGCGCTGTATTGTGGTCTGACAATGCTAATTCCAATAATTCGCCGTGAGCATTGTAGATGTTACTAATTATATGATCTATACATGCATTAAGTCTTGTGGGTTTGTCAATGTGAGTTATTAAGCTATAGTTCAATAAAATATCCAAAAAAATATTATTTGTGCTACTATGTTTGAGAGTATCGATATTAAGGTCTCCTGCTATAATTATTTTTTTTTTATTCTGTTCGGTTAAGTCATGCAAAAACGTGTTAAACCTATGTAAAAATAATTGAATGTTAGAGCTGGGTGTTCTATATAAACATATGACGACGATTTTGTGGTTTATTAGTTCAATCCCGCAACATTCAAAAGATTCGTCAGTAGCATATTTTTTAGGTATTTCTAGATTTTTATATTGCAAGTTCAGTCTTACTAATATACATACACCTCCTCTATTATGTTTCTTATGCCTGCAGTACATTGATGCTAAATTATAGTTATTAATACTTACGTTTGATTCACACCCCTTTGGAATGAAGGTTTCTGACAGACAAACTACGTCGGGGCGAATTCGGATAAGAGCTTCCTCGAGCAGTTTTTTCTTACTGTAAATGCTAGCTATATTTTGATGCATCAGTTTTAGTACATACTTACTAGTGTTGGGTACGAAAAAACGTGTGTGGCTTAGTTTTAGATTTAGGTGGTAGTACTGTAAAGTATGATGTTATTTTTTGCTGTTTTTTTGTTGGCGTTTTATGAATTATGTTTGGAATGGGTAAGAAGTAGGATGTAATTTTAGTCTGTGTTTTTTTTGGCGTATTACGACGTACGATTTTTTTTTTGTATGTCAACGTTATAACGGCATACTTCCCTGCGTATATTTCCTCTTATTACTTTGGAACGTTGCATAAAACTTAGAAACTTTAAATTATAGTAATTTTGATTAATAATTAGATTAATTTTTTTACATAAATCATATCTTTTCAAAGTCTTAGTATATTCGATAAAGTGGCAATTTTGGTATTGATTACATGTTATTTTCAGTATATTATTGAGTTTCCATTCATTTAAGTACATATTTGTGCGAATCCCTAAAACTAATACAAGACACTCTTTATCTATTGTTTTTAGAAAGCTACTTAACTCTATCATTACTTTATAAGGGTTTTTATCATGTTCTCCAATACTTAAAACAATACAGTCCTTTGATGTGACATTAAATAATTGGCATGTTTTCAAGATTTCTTCAGTGTCTGCTTTTGGTTTGATAAATGACTCAAGCTGATAATGTTCGTAAGGTGTATTCATTCTTGATGTTCGTAACAAATTTGCCAATCCTATACATTGTTGTCCTCCAGTTATATATAATGTTTTTTTATGAAGTACGGATGATAATTTCGATGATGTTTTATAGTTTGGTTGTATTTGGGTGAATGTTTCATTGCTTTGTTGTATTTCGGGAGAACTGTTATTTCCGGAAATGTTGGTAAGTTGTTGATTCTGCATATTATTTTTGTTTTCTAAAGATGATTTTAGCCCGGTTTCAAACTCGCGCTCTTTATCGAATGTTGTGTTTGATGCACAAGCAATTGTTTGATTTATGTTATTTCTTGTAATATATCGTTTTTTTTTATTTGTTGACGGTACTGTTTTCTTTAAGTGCTGTACTGGACTTTTGCATATAGTTCTTAGTGTATTATTTTGGGTGCTTAACTTGTTTATTTCTTTTTTTAACTGACAATTTTCTATAATTACATTTTCTAACTCATTTTGTGTGCTGTGCAATTGTGAATTTAAATCGTTTATTTTCTGTTTTAATTCATCTATTAGAGTATCCTTATGTAAATGTGTAGACAGGTCAAAGCTTCTTTGTACCATTTCTGAATCCGCGGAACATGAAGATACGTTAAGTCCGTCGTTATCTAATGATTCACAAGATTTGGATTTAAATAATTTTTTAGGTCTTAAAGTAATGTTTTCATACTCCTCTTCCATCTTGTGTGGATACAGAACACTAATCTTATTCGTTATTAACAAATGTCTTGAAGCGAATTTGAGATTTATTGGTTATACTAAATTCGTCACATTAGTTCCTTTTGTTGGCAACTATGGATTGAGTATTGTACTCAAGCAAATAGGTTTATGATGCAACGCCCTCTGTTATGAAAGTTAAGAAATGAGACATTTACACTGCGCCCAATTTGTAAAATTTTTTGACATTTAATTAACAATTTTATTCTCAATAAATATTTTTTAGAATTCGAAATTAATTTTAAGAATTGTAGAAAAAAGTTACAGTAACAAATGTAAAGCAGTCGACGGGATTTGAACGTACGAAAACTGCTAGTAGCTAAAGATTTTCGACGTATAACATGTGTGCCACGGAGCTGCGGTGTCGCTTGCGTAACGCAGCAAAAGTTTAACTATATTATTAAGGGCTATTGTTTTGCATAACATGTCAATAGTTCAAAGTCCAGATTCATAAACATTTCACACTACCGTTGAAAACGAAAAATAAACTAACACTATTTTGATGATTTCAGTAAAGATCGGCTTCTCAGGTTTATAATAATTACTTTGTTGTAAATAATATAATAATATTCTAGTGTTAAAACCAATAGTCACATAACGTTTTGAGTACAACTTGATATAATACAGTTCACTTTTTCTCACACTGTTATTATTTAGATAATTCGATAAAGTTCACTTCTCTAGATTTCTGTCTATTGCCAAGTTTAAAATTTTGCATTTAATATTTCTTTTAACACTTCAACGATTATATATATTATATATTTTATAAAATGTTTTGGTAAAAAAAAAAAAACTGATTATTACGGTTTCGCTGTATTTGCAAACAATGTCACTTTAACTTCACTGTTTTTACTTTACTTTTGTTTCATTTTGCGACGATTTATGTTCAATATTTTATTTTTTAAAAGATTTTAATAGGGACCGATATGAATTTCGCGCCTTATATTAAATAAGGCATGCAATATTACTCTTTACCAAACTCAATGTAATCATTCACTGTATAAAAACTTTTGTCCATGAAATATGTTAACATTATTTAATTCATAGTTTTAGGGCATTAGGTAGTCTATTAAATAGTTTTATAGCTTGATTTCTAACACTATGCTCAACAACCTGTAAGTTTGTTTTTAAATATATTTTTTTGAATAGGGTGACAAACAAGCACACAGTCCACCTGATGGTAAGTGGATGCTGTGGCCCACATGCATCTACATTTATCCCCAATTAAAAATCAAAATGCAGATGCGTTGTCACCCCTGAGGACTAAGATGGAATACCTCTTTTCTAGTAAAAAGGGTCTCTTTATATAGGAAGTTTTAAGATAACTGAATAAAGTCAGAATATAAAAACAGGGCACAGTAAGGATTTTTAAATTTATAAAATGTCCTCTCCATGATTGCCTCTGGTGTATACAATTTTAACTGCTCTTTTTGGCATAACAAACATTTTTTTACATTATGGGAATAACTAGTATTTCCCAAAATTTAATACTGTATCTTAAGTGAGATTCTATTAGAGCTTAATTTGTTCTTTTTTTGTTTTCTTATTAAAAATATTACCCCTACACCAGGATTTCCTCCTGTATCGTGGAGGCAGTTTACAAACATAAATTGCACAAGGACAAACATCCAGGCCCGGAAAAATTATTTGTAGGTTATACAAATACTTGTTCCATGTGAGATTTGAGCCCGTGACCCTCAGCACTGCAACTCAATGCCAAGCCACTGCACCATAGAGCCGTCAATGTTTCTTCCATTAATTGTTGAACTGACATGACCACGAAACATTAAAAATATACAATTTTTAATTTGTTTAATTGGTTTTAAATAGTATAGCTATATGTATTGCTGTATTCAGCATGAGATTATTTACATTAAACCACTAAGAAAATACTAAAAGAGCTCTATTTACTCTATTGTTGAGATCATTTATATTTTGTCCTGATATCACTGCATTTGTACTGTCAAACCATTAGTAAATATGAAATATATATTAGTAAATATGTATTATCATTACTAGCACTCAATTAGAAGATGATTATACTCAGCAGCAAAAAAAAGTAATGGTTTTAGTTTTAATGAGTTTTAGAACTTTTCCTTTATCTGTTGTTATATTAAGGTATTTTTTAAAAAGTACTATTTAATAAAAAAAAAGAAAAGAAGCAATTTTAATAATTTATCATTATTCATTTGTTCACACACAAACACACTTTAGTAACTTTTTTATATTAAGTTTGTGCTTGAAATAACTTTAGTTAACTTACGTTGCTGTGATTCCCTGTAACATATCGTCATAGCCTGGAGCGTGGTGTCGTCACTCGGCTTTTCCTCAGCGAGTACATCTAGTACTGATAGAGCTTCATTTTTTTTTCCTAACCTTAAAAGGGCTAGAGCTTTTAAAGCGCGCGCTGCTTGTAATGTAGGACTTTTCTTGAGAACTTTCTCCGCTTCTTGTAAGGCTTTCTTATTTACCCCATTGTCCAACCAATCTGTAATCCCATAAATGAGTATATCGTATCACAACAGTTCCGAATAATCAGCTCTAATAGGGTAATAGGATTATTTACCATAAATTGGCCGCAAACGACGCTCTACAATACCACCATCATGCATGTGTTGGGGTCGTGCCGACATTTTTCATTTATGAAATAAATTCTTCAGTAAATAAATGCAATTTCGAGTCTTTTAATATTTTTTTCGCTGCACGTTTGTTTTGTGCTTGTCGTTGGTTGCCGACTGTCAACTGTCAAGTGATAATGTTAATGACATTTTGTACAGGGTTGCAATATTAATTTTTGTAACTTCCATAGACTTTTGAAAGAGATTATTTATCATTTTAAGTCTATGGTATAAAAAACATGTGCGCAGTTCACACGCCGTCGAAGTGAAACCTTCAAATGAAATGAAATGTAATATAAAAATATTTCACGACAAATGATTTATTTAATATGATAAATTTCAAGCACAAGGGCGGCATATGTTCTTTGTATAATATACGGGGTTATTTTGCAATAATCGACCATTTTAATTTTAAATTTTAACAGTGGTAGAGCCACGCGGCAGCTTTTGCGGTCGCACGGATGGGCCGGCTCGAACCGGGGTAGTACCACGACCTCACAGAAAACCAGCGTGAAGTAGAGGTTTACCTTTGCGTTTCGCTTGGTGAGTGCAGGTGGCCGGAGGCCCTTTTTACTGGAAATAAGGCATTCCATCTTAGTCCTCACGGGTGACAACGCATCTACATTTTGATTTGTAACAGAGGATAGATGTAGATGTCTATGGGCCGCAGCAACCACTTACCATCAGGTGGACTGTGTGCTCGTTTGTCACCCTTATCCTATAAAAAAAAAATTGCAGAGAAGGTTCAATATAAGCTATACATTTATATGAAATGGGAGAAAAAATTTATTAAATAAATCTCAAACATTCTGTCCTTTTTATCTTAAATTAAAAGTGCGTGGTAATGCATTATTTCAACTGATTGTAATTCATAAATATCTAACATCCACTATTTTACTACGCAGGCACACATTGGTAAGGGTCGCTCGGTCGGTAAAAACGTTGTGAATATGTACGTGTAAATAGCACACAAAGGATCGCGCGTACGCGATGTTTTTGCCCATAAACCACATTCAATTTGGGATCATTTCAAATAAAAGTAGAAGCCTTATTTACTCGTAGTTTCCAAAACTTCAATTACGGTATATTATTCTTTAATATTGAATATAATATTAATATTGAACATTCTTGAATAACTACAGACCGATTGCCCTTCTGAGCCGCGTCTACGTGCTGTTTTCGAGAGTCATTACGAATGGTCTCGCACGCAGACTTGACGACTTCCAGCCTCCCGAACAAGCCGGTTTCCGAAAGGGCTTTAGCACCATAGACCACATACATACCCTTCGGCAAATTGTACAGAAGTCCGAGGAGTACAATTTGCCACTATGCGTGGCATATGTGGACTATGAGAAAGCCTTTGATTCCGTCGAAATTTGGGCGGTGCTGCAGTCTCTTCAGCGGTGCCAAGTTAACTGTCGGTATATCGAAGTGCTAAAGTGCTTGTACGGTAGAGCTACAATGGCTATCCGAGTACAGAACCAGAGTACGAAACCTATCCAATTGCAGAGAGGTGTAAGACAGGGTGACGTTATATCCCCGAAACTCTTCACCGCTGCATTGGAAGACGTTTTCAAGCTTCTGGACTGGAAAGGATACGGTATTAACATCAATGGCGAGTACATCACTCACCTTCGATTTGCCGACGATATAATCCTTATGGCAGAATCGCTGGAGGACCTGAGCATTATGCTCAATGACCTCAATAGTGTCTCCCAACGGATAGGTCTTAAGATGAACATGGATAAAACAAAGATTGTGTTTAATGTCCATGTCACACCTATGCCGGTAGTTGTTGGGAGCACTAAACTCGAATTTGTTCGACGAGTATGTTAACCTGGGTCAAATAGTCCGACTAGGTAAGTCCAACTTCGACCGAGAAGTCAATCGACGGATTCAACTCGGCTGGGCAGCGTTCGGGAAGCTACGACACATTTTCTCGTCATACATACCTCAAAACCTTAAAACGAAATTATACAACCAGTGCGTGTTGCCAGTGATGACTTACGGAACTAAGACGTGGTCCTTCACTGCTGGCCGTATGAGGAAGTTCAAGGTCGCTCAGCGAGCTATGGAGAGGGCTATGCTCGGAGTTTCTCTGCGTGATAAACTTAGGAATGAGGATATCCGCAGTAGAACCAGAGTAACCGATGTAGCCCAACGGATTAGTAAGCTGAAGTGGCAGTGGGCCGGTCATATAGCTCTAAGAACCGACAACCGATGGGGAAGAAAGGTTCTTGAGTGGCAGCCTCGTACCGGTAGGTGAAGTGTAGGGCGACCCCCCACGAGATGGAGTGACGACCTGGTAAGACATGCAGGAAGTCGATGGATGCAGGCGGCTCAGAACCGTGCTTTGTGGCATTCCTTGGGGGAGGCCTATGTTCAGCAGTGGACTTATGAAAGGCTGTAATGATGATTGTTTAATATTTGAACTTAAGTTTGAAATTTGGCTACTCTTTGAAAAATAACCCCGTATAAAATTCAATTGCTGTCGGTTATAGTCCCGACTAATATATTATATGACCGCTGCACCGGCGCGCTGCCGTCGCCGTGAGTTCATGTCGACGCGTTGTCGCCAAGTGGAGTGGAGCACGCGGCGCGCCGTCGCGCGAGTCGCAACTTAATTTCCGCTCGCACGCGCGGCCCGACCGCATTAGTTCTCCTAGTTGCCTTGCCACACTCGTCGCTCACTTATTCGTATTTCACCGAGTGAACGTGTATTGTTGTGTGGTGTTTACAATGGCCGCAACTTAGTCAAATTTCGGGAACATCGAAAGAAGTTCTTATAAACTAAAATAAAATTAGATTACTACGTCTCACCAATTTGGAGGTGGCTTTAATAATGAATGATATTAAAAGAGTACGTTCGTGCCTAGACGTTGGACTCATCAACTAAGTACTAGAAACTTACAAAAATACTGATGTATTAGTTTTATTGCTTAGTCTAAATAATACAATATTATATTCTAAAATTTTAGTCTAAAACAGAGGGACGGGGTGTATCCATAACTTTACCCTTCCTACTCGTAAGAACAAAATTATCGGTAATAAATTTCTTAATGTTTTTACGATAATTTTGGACTTAAGGCATACATTTTTCTCTTAACACGTATATAAAAAGCAATAAGAAACAAGGCTAGAAAATTTAAAATCCAAGTTGACACCATTCATGTTAATTATGCGTGTACTTGTTACACTAGTATTTAAACGTAAAGGAGGTAAGTTGATGACTGAAACTGGTAACGCTCTCTCCCGCTCGCTATCGTATTCTGTGTAAAGGTGATGAATGTAAGTACCATGTATCTCCAAGCCACAGGGCTCGTCGCTCGTTAATATATAGGTTCCAAAAATAGATTGCTTGTTGATCTAGTTACCGCAGTGTTTGATCAGCGTCGTTTTTAGCTTTGTGAAAACAATACAGTTTTCTGCTTAAATTTGCTGCACCTTAACGTCTTCAATTATAATAGCGTGTTGCGTGAAACAAGTAAGGCTGTTCGCGCCAAGCGCTAGTTTCAAGGATTGACGCGAGAGGGCGCTCGGCGCGGTGCATTTATACCGGTTTGACTTTCGGTCGTGCGAAAAACGCACAAGGGCAGGCAGTCGCCTGTCAGCTGTGCTTGGAACGGCACGCTGTCATTTTGTCGGGAACTCGGAATAATTCGGCGCGGCTAGTAAATATACGGTCTACCATTGTGACGCGCATTCCTGCTGGAGAGCTTCCCAGGGACTCATTGTGTCTGACCCAGAATCTGCATAAGTGCATTCGGCAATATTAGCTAGTGCGGCCTCTGATATTCTAGAACTAACTGTTGCTACGCGAAACGGTAGTGACCTTTGATCCAGAAATTCCGTGTGCGTTTTGTGCGTTAACCTTATACCCAGCGATAGTTAGTGGCTTCTGTAATTTAGTTAATCGTACGATAGAGTTAATTGACTGTCATCGTGACCAACGAGGAAAATGACTGTGGACAACCTCGGAAGGCCGGGCAGCTAGGGACGTGTACAAAGGCTATTCTCAAATTTCATCAACTGTTTGTTCTAATTTTACCAAATTAGTTTTGGTTGGTGGGTATTTAAAATTTTTGATATTCGATATTAGTTTTAAATGATCTAAGAGTTCTGTAGAATTTACAATAGATTGATATAGTATAGATACTCTGTTAAAAGCTAGAGCAGTTTTTATTTCACTTAATTTATCAAATTATATATAGTTCGAGAATTACCTATAAATAAATTAAATAATCCAAAAATATATGTTTATAAAACCCATTTATTTTCTCTAGTCGTTAAACGATTTTGCATTATCTCTACACTCCTTAAGCGTGCATCTAGCATAACGGAATTATTATTTAGGCTTTCAGTGGCATTAACAAAGCTATCCAACAGTTTGGAGACCAAGGTGAGTTTCTTAGACACGATAATTGGTTGTGACTTAACTCCGAGGTAAGTATATCATACTTAAGAGCATCTTCATGATCGAGGTTTCCTGTAATAATTTTTAGAACAGAACGTAAGGGATTTAGGATCCCTCTCTTAAAGCGTTGCGGCATAAGTTGTTGAAATATTTTCACGGTAATATCGCATATGTACTCTACATGGGTTTTAATCCTGATAAAAACATGAGGGTATGGTTCTTTTACTTCAATTAGTCTACGGAGTTTATGATATTTAGCAATGATTAGATTTGGGTCGTCATAAATATTTTCTAAATTTAAAATCTTTATTACAGTCCAGTGATCTGTTTGGGCATATGCTTGTCCTTGTTTTACAGGAAGTATCCCTGGGTTTTCCTCAAGTGACTACAAGTGATGGACCAGGATCGGCTTCGCAATCATCAGTATGCACCACCTGTGGAGGGCATAAGATTTTTGTAATCGGAACTGTTCGTGCCCAAACGCTGGTTTCAAGATTTGACGCCGGAGGGCGCTTGGCTCGATGCGGGCGTTCATAACCGGTTAGACGAGTGGGCGGTTGGCGGGAGATAGTAGCTCGACGGCGGCTGGGCAGTTAATTGGTGTCTTTCGATGCCCGCCGCTGGGTTTCGCGAGACCGGTTTTTTTTGGATTAGGGTCTAGAATTTTGGAAATTATGCGCGTGACTTCGCTACGTAATTGTGTTTCTT